AAATCTTTATAAAATTCCCTCTACCCTTGGTACTATCTAGATAAAGAAGAAGTAAATACAGCCAGCCTGGAATTCTTCAGAGACTCCTTATTGGAGAATCAAGAGCAATTGCTTCCAAAAGGAGTCTTTTTCTGAATCTCTGGGTCTCCTAATATTTCTTGCTGTAGACTATTCCTTAGAGCCTCTCATCTTCTACTGTTCTTCTAATTAATATAAGCGCAGCACCTCTGTATGTAATGAAATATATCTGAAAACAACCTCATTTAAAAGAATAAATCTATTAAGGAACTGAGAATTTTCTGGCGTGAAATGAAAAAAATATTGATTACGTCCCACCTGTTAGCAATAAAATCCCATCCAGTTAATTAACCTGCTCAGTGATAAAGTTTATTTTTGCCCTTCACCTTCAGCTCCAAATCTTTAAAACCATTAAAACAAGTACCTGGTCAATGAATAAATCTTCTCCCAGGGTGACATTTAGGGCCTTCTGTAATCTGGCTCTGGCCTGCACTTACCTCTAGCTACTTACCTCCAATCACCTTCCAGCCCAGCCAAATGGAAGATGAAAAGTGTTACCAGTACCAAGATACGCTTACTTACCATGAATTCTACTTATTTTAACTCAGTTCAAATGCCATTTCTTGGAAAAAGCTTTCCCAGAGCTCTACCATCTACCTCTACCTCCCTCCCTTTCCACTCTCCAAATTGCTGCCAAGCTGCAATTATTACCTCCCTAGTCTAAACACTTCGAAAACTTGTTATACCTTTGTAGCACTTATTATTTTATACCTTATATTATGATTATATAGTTGTAGTACTCAACCCTTGAGGTTGAAATTCCAACCAATTCATTTTGTGTTCTTCATGTTCTTCAACACAATTCCTTATCAATGACTGCTGTTCAGTAAATATTTTTTGAATGTTTAAATGGAGCCTCACTGATTTAATAGCTTCTTTATAGTTGTTTTTACTCCAGGGGTTCACAATTCAATATCAACAAAGGGAAAATTTAACTTAGTGAGGTTTTTTTTTTTAAATTTCTATTGTATTCAAAGAAAGAATTCTCAAGCTCTGGCTTTTTTGGGGGGGTGTGTTTTGTTTTGTTTTAAGACTAGCCTACTATTTTCTCACATCCTTAGCTACTTTCTGCTTATGGAAATCTCTTCACTTTCAGTGGAAGGGGACATCACCTATTTCTATGACTCTGAATATAGGCTTCATATGGCTTTTCTATTTCCTGCATCAATTTACATGACAACATACTGGGACCTAGTATTTTATCAGCATAAAATACTAACACTCAACTTTAGATGAAGCAAATTTTGTCACTGAAGAAGAGAAATATATAGTTTCACTGAAACAAAAAGACTGTGTATTCATTTAGAATCATGTTCTTGATCACATGTTATATTTCAGGTACTGTGTTCTGTGCTGCTCATACAAATATAAATAGGGGTCCTTTCAAGGAGCTCTGAGTCATATGAAGAGAGATGAATATATGATGAGATAATTTCTATAGAAAGCAATTTGCACAATGCCAGAGGCAGACACAGGGTGATATAGAGTACAGAAGATTTTAAACAAAGTTCTCTTTGAAGCACAAGCATGTTTATATCATGTAGATATCAATAATTTAAGTATTATTTTTGGAGTTATTAAAATCATCAGCAAGGAAAAGCATCAGCATCATTTTCAACTCACCTTGGGCAGGGTCTCAGTATCCACAGGGGATGCCAAGGCATGACTCAGACAATAGCTATGCTGGGTTAATCAAGATCCAGACCAAGGTCCTTCCTTGCTCCTTACATCTTATAGGAATGAATCATTCATGGAGATGTCAGCAAAGGGGTAGTTTTCTTATGATTCATTGGGCTGAACTTCATCCCAATGATATTTCAGTCCAGCGATTTTTCATGCTATTTTGTCTATGGCTCCTGTATTTCTAAACGCGTTGGCACAGCTGTGTAGATGACTCATGGAGTGTCTTCTTAAAGTCTATGACCCTAGAGATGTCAGTCTCTCTGTGTGTATATGTATGTGTATATGTGTGTGAGAGAGGTATTTATGAGAAAAAGCAATAAAATAATCCACAGCTGTGCATTCTAAATATTTATGCACTTTAAGTTTCTTTCTTTTTCTAGGCCATCACATTTAAGGACACTTTTCTGCTTACTATAAACTCCTTGAGAAGGATAAGGTAAGGTGACATGAGTCAGAAGCAGAAAAAGAAGAGGAAATTAAAATCCATTTCAAATTACTCCTCGACAGTTGTTCAGTGAGTGCTTGGATGGGGGTACTGCTTGAGGCTGTAATATTTCTCTGGGTTCTTCTGACTCACAACTGAAAGAAGATTAGACATGGAGTGATGATAAGTAGTGTGATGGTGCCCACAAGCTATTTAATGAAGATTTATCCTACTATCTGCCATTGACCAGCCCACACAGGATCAACATAGAACAAAGCGAATCATGCAAATAAACAGCAGCAAAACACCTTGCCCTTGGGAATTTAAATTCTAGAGGGACAAAAGGTCAAACACAGTGCCAGCGTGCTCCTCTCTGCTTGGCGTGAAGCAGTTCCCTCTCATGAGGTCTTAGTGTGGAGCGGCTTAGTTTCCATCAAATCTCAGCTTCCGTGAAAGTCACAAAACTTTATCTCTTCTGAGCTTGCATCCTGATAGCTACTCTAATTGTTCGCATGAACACTGAAATGGACTCAGGGGGAGAGGTGGTGTCTGCACGTGAGTTGGGTGCAGCGGTGATAGTGCATAGGGGGCAGAAACCCTGCCTACAGTACCATCCACCCTGATAATTTACAGCTGAGGGAGATGCACGCGTTAGCTTAGTACCTGATTCAGTCCCCTCCACCCCAGTTGGCATTCTTCCTCTTCTACATCCCTCCCTCCTGGCGTTACCTCCCTTTCCCTCGGCCCCTCCCCATCCCCTTCCCTCGTACAATTCTTTTCTCCTCCTCTTGCTCCCTCTCCCTCTAGCCTTTCTTCCCTCTCATCTTTCCCTCCTCCATCCCTCCGCGGCGTCTGCGTCAGGCCCCCACTAGCGTGACGCGGGGTCTGGGTGGGAGCTGTCCACTCACCCGGGTGCTGAATGCAGCAGCGGCGGCCGCGGCCGCGGAGGTGAGGATAACTGAGAGCTTTCTCCGCTCCGAGAACCTCGTTTGCAGTCCTCAGACCGTCGGCTCAGCACCCCGACACCTCCCATCCAGCACCACCCCTTTGGGAACTGAGCCAGGGGGGCAGCAGTCGAGGCGGCGGGTGCTGAGCAACGGCGGAAGACAACACCTGGCAGCAGCCGGGAGTCTGCTTTGCCTGCTTTGGGCTTTTAGAAGAGATATATTTATATACAGTTTGAGGGAACCTCGAAGACCAAGCTGGAACCAAGTGCCGGCTGCCTCTCACCTGGCCACACGGCTTCACTTTCCCCTCCCACCTTCAGCTGCCACCGCACTCAAACCTCACCTCGTTGCAGCTGCGAGGAGAGGTAGCAACCGAGCCCCGCCAGCCGCGGCAGGGACAGGAAGGAGGGGCGGGTGGGGGCGGGGGCGGAGAGCCGAGGAGGCCGCCCTTGGTGGGGGCAGGGGGCAGAGCTGCCGAGAAGACCTGGCAGCCGCCCTCCTCCGCCCCCACCCACTAGAAACACTCTTTCTTGATTATTTGAGAAGCGAATTATTGCATTAGTGTTATTTCGGTTTTTATTACCCGCTCTCTCGCACCGCTCCCATCCCCACGCCCGTCTCGCCTCTGGTTGCATGGCAGCACTGCCCGGGCGCGGGGGCTCAGGGCCAGCCCCCGGGGAAGGAGGAGGAGGAGAGGAAGGATCATGAAGCCAGGAGTCGCGACCGCCCCGGACGGCGGGCAGCAGCAGCTAGAGGACGAGCCGGAGCAGCCCCCGCCCCGGAGACACCCGGACGCCGGCCAGCAGTCCCCTCTGCCTCCACGCGAGCATCTGCGGGCGCGGGCAGACCCGGAGCAGGAGCAGGAGCAGGAGCAGGAGCAGGAGCAGGAGCAGGAGCAGGAGCAGGAGAGCAACCGCGACCCAGAGCAGAAAGGATTGGAGAGGGCGAGGCCACTTGCCTGCCCGGACCTGCCCTTTTCCTCGCTCTTGCACCTCGCCCGAAGGGACCTTTGATGAAACCTCGGGGAGGGGGCCACGGATTTACAGACTGCTGCAGGAGTGGGCTAGGGGCTGCGATAATGTAACTATCTCTTCCCCTGTCCTCTCCCACACGCCCCTCTTCTTCACCCTTTTCTCTGCCCCACCACCTGTCCTCCCCCATACACACCCTTCCTCTAGCCAAGATCTTTATGCTCAGGAAGGACGTGGGTCTGCGAGGAATACATGATCTTTTTCTCTCTTCCTTTCTCCCTCCCTATCCCACTCTTCTCCCACCTCTACTTTCCAGATTGGGTTTACCCCTCTTCTCCCAGCCCTTGGCTGCATAAGCAAAGCACAATCCCCTTCCCCAGGTTCACCTGCAGGCCCCTCCTCCCCTCCCAACCCAACTGATCTCTTAAAAACGACTGTGGTGCTTCTAGGGGTTAACTGCCCCGATTTTCTGCCCAGAAAAATTAAAACTTCTCCCAACCTCCTCCCTCCCCATCTTGCCTCCACCCTACCAGTCTCCTACTACCTGAGAAAAACTATCTTTTCTTTCTCTCATTTATGCCCTCCTTCAATTCATCCAGCTAGTTTTCTCCAAACCCAGCTCATCCCACTCCAAATTTGATTTATATTCTTCCTCTCACCCTTTTATATAAAAGAAAGTGATTTACCACCCCCTAGGGATTTGGGAAGAACCCAGCAATCCTTTCTTGGTGAACTTTTAAGAATTAGACATTGATCTGAAGGCTCTAAATATTCAGCCTCAGAGCTGCTCCTACTAGTGTCCTGGGGCCAGAGGCAGAAAGGAAGCATGGTGAGCAAAGTCTGAGGTTGGGGTGGGGCTGCAAGAGCAAGAAAAACTTGTTTTGCCTTTTCCAGGTAGAGTTCAGAATCATTGACTCCCAGTTCTCAGTTCTTGGAGCAATTTATTTGCTGCTCAGAGGGGCTTGAAGAAAAGCTAGTGAGAAAGGACATTCCTCCCGTAACACAGAAACAGTGCGGAGTCCAAGCCCCATTGTACACAACTCTTCTAAGACTCCATCTGCCCCTCTGGGGTTCTCTGCTCCCTCCGGGCCCATGCTGATGCCCCTGGGTGGGCTGCTGTGGTGGTGGTGGTGGTGCTGCTGCTGCTGTGGCTGGTACTGCTCTGGACTGTGCACCTCAGTCCCCCAAATGTTGCGCCACCAGGGTCTCCTCAAGTGCCGTTGCCGCATGCTCTTTAATGACCTGAAGGTTTTCCTTCTGCGGCGCCCCCCTCCAGCGCCCCAGCCCATGCACGGTGACCCCCAGCCCCCCATTTTGGCGGCCAACAATAACACCCTTCCGGCTCTGGGTGCCGGAGGGTGGGCAGGCTGGAGGGGCCCTCGAGAAGTAGTGGGCAGGGAGACCCCTCCTCTGCCACCACCACCACCTTTGCCACCTTCTGCGGAAGATGACTGGGGTGGCCCAGCCACAGAACCACCTGCCTCACTGCTCAGCAGTGCCTCTTCAGATGACTTCTGTAAGGAGAAGGCTGAGGATTGCTACTCACTGGGCAGCAGCCTGGACAGTGGTATGAGGACTCCACTCTGTCGCATCTGCTTCCAGGGACCGGAACAGGTGAGTCTCTTTTCTGTGTCCCTTTCCTGTGGTATCTCCAGGTCTGGTGGATTGCTACCTGTTTGCTTGCTTTGGGGAACCATTATGCTGTTGGTAGTGTCAGGACTGTTCTCTCTTCCCTCTGTTTTTGTTTGTTTAGCACTAGGGGTTGAATCCAGGGGCTTTCTGCCAACTATAACCCATATTCTCAGGCTCTCTCTCTCTCTCTCTCTCTCTCTCTCTCTCTCTCTCTC